CAGAGGGGCGGGGTATTAAATAAAATTTATTATTATTATTATTATAATCTCACCAGAGCAAACAATAACAGACAATAGCAGTGACTACAGCAGAAGTTGGAGAAGAGAAGATGGGCTAACTCCTGAGGCCAGGAAATCTAGTCAGGAAAGGCCTGCCAGAAGAGATCCATTTTAATAGCTCTTTTAAAGCTGTTTAATCTGGTAATCTGACGGATCTCATCCAGCAGGCCATTCCATAATCTGGGAGCGGTTGCTGAGAATGCCCTCTGGGAGGTTGCAGACAGCTTCGTTTTTATCAGCTGCAGCAAATTCCTCCCAGATGACCAAAGTGTGTGGGGTAGATCGTATGGGAGGAGGCAGTCCTGAAGATAGGTTGGACCTAAGCCATTTAGGGCTTTAAAGGTAATAACCAACACCTTATACTGGGACTGGAAAATAATAGGCAGACAGAAGAGACTTTAATACAGGTGTCATATGGTCTCTCCTTGATGTACCTGAGATCAATCTGGCTGCCATGTTCTGTACTAATTGAAGTTTCCAGACCAGGCACGAGGGTAACTCCATGTAGAGCGCATTACAGAAATCAAGACAAGAGGTTACCAGTGAATGCATCACAGTTTCAAGGTCCCTTACTTCCAGGAAAGGGCACAGCTGGTCTATCAGCCAAAGCTGACAACAGGCGCTCCTGACCGTCACATTTACCTGATTATTTATCTGAAGTGACAGATCCAGGAGCACCCCCAGACTGTGAACACAGTCCTTCATGGAGAGTGTGACCCCGTCCAGGACTGGAGGTTGTATCCCAATACCTGATTTCGGGGCCGCTACTGTGAGTACCTCTGTTTTATCTGGATTCAGTCTCAATCTGTTTTTCCTCATCCAGTCCATTACTGCCTTAAGACAGTCATTAAGGGGAGAGATGCCATCTGAAGCTGAAGCTGAAGACCGAGACATGGAGAAATATATCTAGGTGTCATCAGCATACTACTGGGTGCCTCATTTCTGATCTCA